TGGGCGTTCATCCAGGACCCCCATTCGAATCCACAGTGGCCTGGTCTCAGCTCGCTGATGAAAGTTGCAAGCGGGAATTTAATCATCACTGGCATCGTCCCCCCCTCCCTCCCTCCTCCTCCTGTGACGCTGAGGGGTAAGGGCTGATGTCCAGGATTGTGGCCCATGCAGCTGCAGTGACCATCTTGGGCACGCGGTCCCACACCTCCCAGGAGCGCTGAGAGAGCCGCAGGCCGACTCGTCATCGACAATATCCCTCACCGTCACACCCAGACACAGGGTCCATCATCATATTCCCCTCTCACCCCACCCACCTCTGCTGCCCTCTGCTTCCACACAGCACACACCTCCCCAAATCCCTTCTCCTCCTCCCCTAATTTCCCCATGATATCATTTTACCTCCCGCCTCCTCCTCCTCCCCTCCTACCCCTCGTCTTCCTCCCTTTTTCCTCCTCCTCATCGTCCTCGCCCCCCCCCCTCCTCCTCGTCTTTCTCCCTATTCTCCTGCTCATCCTCCTCCTCCCTCCTCCTCCCTCCTCCTCCTCCCCCCCACCCGACCCGGCTCACGTTTTGTCTCCGCCCGCGGCGCCCGGATTACCCCGCCAAAGCGAGGAACGAGCGGAGGGGGAGCGGCGAGGCTCATTGCACCCCCCTCCCCTCCCCCTGCCCACCCTCCCCCTCCCCCACCCCTCCCCCTTTAATAAGACAGGCGACAGGGGGTGGGAGCAGCTACGGGGGGGGGAGCAGCGATTCGTACGTCACTCGCCGCTGATGTTGACCGTGACCGAGACTCAAACCTGAGCCCGGCCGGGTGTCGATGCGCTGTGAGTGATGGGCGACAACCGCTGCGCCACCGCTCCTCGGCCTGGTGACTCGGGACGGATATATTTAAACAAAGATCCCCCGTATAGCATTGAAGGACTGTTGGGGCAAGTGCTGTTAGCGAGCACGACGGGATGGGTGGACAAACGCACACCACCTTTGTCTCCCCAGTGGCGATGTTTACACACCGCACCAAGTACTCATTTGAGGCTGAGTCGACCTAGGAGAGGCCCATGACCGGTTCAGATAGTCGTCACTGGGTGTTGGCCGTCAGCGGGAATCGAACTCGGGTCGCCGGGTTCACAGCACGACGCGGTGACCGCGACACCACCGCTCGTCGTAGCTAAACCCACACTCACCATGGAACTGGCATCGGCCAAAATCACACCCACACCATAAATGACGTCACGCACCTGGGGGGGGGGGTCAGACACTTGTGACGATGTGTGACGAGGTTGGGGGGCTACTCTTTGGTTTTTTCGGTAATGTCACGTAGGTAAAAAATTAAAAATAAATTAATAAAAATAAAATTATACAAATCACGACGTTTCGGAGGCAACACAAGTCTCCGTCATCAGGTGGGACCGTCACAGCCAGATTTTTATTAATTTCATTTTATTTTTTACCTACGTAACTTTACCGAAAAGACCAAAGAGTATGAATCCTTGCAGTCACGAAAGCTTCAAATCTTGAGGGGGGGGGGAGTTTGAGAAATGTGACGTCACACATCAAAATCCGCAACTTTAAATAAATATAGACAACACGTTCTAGCGGTTCTACTTAATTAAATAGACTTTTTAATAAATGTTTTCTCCTACAACATCAGAGTGCAGCGCCACATTAAATACGCACTACAATGACAATAGTTTAAAGCGATTTGAAGCATGTTTTATTTTTGGAGGGGGGGGGGGCAGAGCTTTGTGACGTCATATTTGAGGGGGGGGGGGGTCTGACTTTTTGTGACGCCGTGTGACGAGGGGGGGGGTCAAAAATCGTCCAAAATCGCGTGACGTCATTTATGGACGGCCCCCAACAACAGCAACAGGGCTCGGACCCTCTCGAATAAAGTGTCTCGATATACTGAGTTGAGGCTTTCCTCGGTGAAACTAAAGCGGAATGTTAACGTAGATAAACAATAACAAAAAAACAATAACGTTACCACGGGAACCGAGATGTCAGACCCAGACGCGGTCGGGAAATATGGCGGCGCTGCTGGTTAACGGCAGAGGGGGTGGCCACAACCAATCACACGCGGAGAAGGAGTTGATTGTGACGTCATCGCGCCCAGAGGCCCGCTGATTGGTTGCGAGGTCACACGGGAGGGGGCGATGGGGCAGTCGCCACATTGCCAGCGTGCCCCCCCCCCCCCCCGCCAAACCCCCGCACAGACTCAGAGGTCAACTTGGTGGTGTGGAACAGAAACGTAATAAAGGTGTCAGTTTAGTTGCCAGATAAAAGGGTACAAACCAATTATCATATTTTTCGACTGGCAAATGAGGTACCAATGGTGTAAATGCTTACCCCGAGCTCTCATAGTCTGATGGTGCATTGTCTTTGAGTTGTGCGCCTTTTGGCGTCATCTGGTCCAACCCATGTGAGACTAGGCTCTAAGGAAAGCTGTCTCGGGTGTGGACCAATCAACTTCAAGGACAGTGCATACATTATCAGAGTTATGTTTTTTGTTTGCATTATGACTGCAGGTATTGTGGTCTATGCAAACATGACTCCTTGTAAAAAAGGTGTCAGTTTTGTTGCCAGATAGAAGGGTAAAAAAACAATTTTCAGAAACGTAAAACACAACGTTCCGTTTAGCTTCGCCCGAATCATCGAGTGTGGATGAAGAGACAACTCCGGCCGTCGTCTGACTATGCTGCTGCTGCTGGTGGCTGTAAATGTTGTGTCGTGATCCGTTGTGTGTGTGTGTGTGCTGAACTACCGTGACAAACTTTACCGATTGGCTGTGTCGGGTGGTGGCGAGTTTTTACGACACAGTTACATTCATGCGATTTAACCCACCCCCCCCCCCCAAAAAAAAATAACCTTTATTATGTATAATAATGGTCGAGAAAGCCTCCTGTTACACTCAGAGTCAGGTGGTTTCACCATTCTACTCCCGCGCACGATGGCAGCAGCGGTGAGGTTCAGGAGCCAGATGCAAACGCTGGGGGTTTACTCTCCACGACGAGAGAGAGTTCGTTCGTGTCGCTCTTCCTCCTCTTCCTCCTCCTCCTCATCCGTCGCTTTGGGTTGCATTTGCACAATGGCACGACTTTGGCTTGTCTTGAACTAATCTCCATGGTGCTCGTTGAGTCTCTATGGGTCTCTGTGTGTCTCTGTGGGTCACTACGTATCTGTATCTATGTCTGTGGGTCTCTATCTTATTGCGGATGGCGATACGTTCAGGAGCTGGGTGCCAATGTCGAGGTCTGATGATGCTGCTGCTGCTGCTGGCAACGACGAGAGGACTGCAGCACAGACAGAGTTCGTGTCGTGTCGCTCTCCCTCCCCTCCTCCTCCTCCATTGAAGAAGCGAAGACCACAATGGGTTCACGATATGGTCCATAGACTTAACATTGCCCGTAGACTAACATAGGCTAACATTGCCCATAGACTAACATTGCCCATAGACTAACATTGCCCGTAGACTAACATAGACTAACATTGCCCATAGACTAACATTGCCCGTAGACTAACATAGACTAACATTGCCCATAGACTAACATAGAGTAACATTTCCCTTAGATTTACATTGCCAATAGACTGCCATAGACTAACATTGCCCATATACTAACATTGCCCATAGACTAACATTGCCCATAGACTAACATAGACTAACATTGCCCATAGACTAACATAGAGTAACATTGCCCATAGACTAACATTGCCCATAGGCTAGCATAGACTAACATTGCCCATAGACTAACATAGACTAACATTGCCCATAGACTAACATAGAGTAACATTGCCCATAGACTAACATTGCCCATAGACTAACATAGACTAACATTGCCCATAGACTAACATAGTGTAACATTGCCCATAGACTAACATTGCCCATAGACTAACATAGACTAACATTGCCCATAGACTAACATAGAGTAACATTGCCCATAAACTAACATTGCCCATAGACTAACATAGACTAACATTGCCCATAGACTAACATAGTGTAACATTGCCCATAGGCTAACATTGCCCATAGACTAACATTGCCCACAGAGTACTCAATTATTGCGAATGGCAGCAGTACGTTCAGGAGCTAAATGTCCACGTGGAGGTGCTGCCACTGCTGCTGCCACTGCTGCTGCCACTGCTGCTGCCACTGCTGCTGCCACTGCTGCTGCTACTGCTGCCACTGCTGCTGCCACGACGAGAGGGCATCAGCAGAGAGAGAAAGAGAGAGTTCGTGTCGTGTCGCTGTTCCTCCTCCTCTGTTGAAGGAGCGGAGACTACCACAGTGGGTTTTCTGTGCGGTCAATCGCATGGGTTGCATGTTTAATGCAACTCCATTGAATGCATCTGCTGTCAGGTGTGCTGATCTTAAAGGTGCATTGAAAAATGTTGACACTACGACTGATGCTCCTGCTGTTGTGGAGTGACTCATGCAGCCAGCTATGGCTGCAGAGTTTGGTAGTACATGTTGTTTACGTCGTTTATTGTGAAAATTCGGTCACAGTTCCTATGATCACGGTTTCATTGCTTTTATGGCTTTATTTTGGTGATTTTTGAAAAGTTTTTCGGTTTGGCCATGTTTGTTTGTTGTAGTACAGAGTTAGACTGATGGCCTTAATCTAAGTTGTCTTGTGGTTGTTGTTGTTTGACTTGCATCCCACTGGGATTTTTGCACACAGTGTTGGTGTACGGTGCTTTTTCTGCAATATTTTGCTGTCTTTTCTTGGATTTTCTGTTTGCACATAGTCACTTTAAGATGTTTTCTTGTTCATGTTTTAGTTTTTTTGTTTGTTGCGGTTGCACCCGATTCAAGAGCCAAATGGCTCACAGGGCAAAACCTAATAAATGAAACTTGAAACTTGAAGGTGTTGAATGATGCCTGGTCGGCTACCCAGGGTCCCGTACCCGAGTTTTCACTCGACGTTGATGATGTGAGTTATGAAGGCAATCCGGATGATGATGATGATGCAATTGTTGATAATTCTGATGATTCGTGTACTTTACAGATGGGTACCCGGTGGCGGTCGAGGGCTCATTCTTGGGCCCAGTCCCTCCTCTTCCTCCTCCTCCTCGCCCTCCTCTGCGCCCCGGGGGCCCCACGCTCGGAGTGTCGCTCCTCCGGAGGCGAGGAGCGACCCGCACCGGGGATCCAACCCGCAGCTGCAATGGAACGTGGCTCTGAATGCGGATCGAGAGAGGAGATACGCGCAGACGCAGTGGGAGCGGGCGTGGGAGATGGAGAGAAGGCCGGATCAGTGATGGGGTCTCCTTCTCCTCTTCACCATCGTCAGCAGCAGCAGCAACATCGTCATCGTTGTCGGTGTAGTCATCATCATCATCACCATCGTCGCCATCAGCAACATTATCATAATCACTGTAATCATTATCAGCATTGCAATCAAAGCAGATTTCAGCACCACCATCACCACCTAAATAACAGTTTTTATACAAAATACCAAAATGCAACACTTTATCATCATCATTACCACCACCACCATCGTCATCAGAATCATCACCAGCCCCACCACCACCAAAATGCTTCCAACTCAATGACTAACTACCCCAATCAAACCCACCACCATCATCATCGCCATCATCGCCACCACCACCACCGCCATCACCACCATCGTCTCCACCACCACCACCACCACCGTCACCACCACGGTCTCCACAATCACCGCGGGAGGCGCGCGAGGCGCCAGGCCCCCTTCTCGTGGCTTCCAGCTCGGCCGTCCAGCACCCTGGCGCCGTGGCAGCCCCCCAAACGCTGGGGTGCGGAAGAAGGCCCCCCTCAACCGGGCCCCTATGCTCCCCACGACCCCCCAGACGCCGACGCCGGCTCGTATTCCGAGGATCGGGGTGCGAACTTTAGCGGCTTCAACTGGTCCATCGTGTGGGGGCCAACGCTGCCCGATGAGGAGATCACGCATCGCGCTCCGTATCCGGGGCCCCGGTGGCGGCTCCAGCCCACGCAGGAAACCTGGCGGAGACTGCCGATGGTCCCGACTCTGAGTCCCACTTCGGGCTGGGCGACGGAGGACAGGGTCCGCTCTCTCTACACCACGGCGCCTTACTCGTCCACCTCCTCGTCGTCCACCTCGTCGTCCGCCTCGTCGCCGACACTGTCGCCTGCGTGGACGATCGCGGCGGCGTCGTCGTCGTCGTCGTCCGTGACCCCGTCGGGCGCCGTGAAGGGGACCCAGGAGCCTGGGGCCGGAACGAGGCGTGTGGAGCAGCCGAGCCGGGCGGGCGCCGGGTACATGGAGGGGGGAGGTGGGTGGCGGCAGGGACGGTGGTCGTACGAGCGAGCGAGCGAGTGGGTGGGTGGGTGGGTGGGTGAGTCAGTATGTATGTATGTTGAACTTCTTCCGCACCGTACGTAGCCCACAGTGATCATAGGAGGTGTGCGGGGTAAGGACAACAAACTGAGCACTAAAAGCTGCTCTAGAGAAATTAGTTCGTCAATATATATGATTTGAACGTGCATATATACAGTGCCTTGCTAATATCACAAGGAAGAGCGGCCGTAGAAGTGCATTGATCACAGCCAACATCAGTGGCAATTGACATGGATGACTATCCAAAAACCACGGCGATGATAACCGGAATTTGCGTGATGGTTTATGGTCCTTAATGAGATCAGCAACGTATTGTGGTTAATTTGTGGCAAGCACTCTGTGTGTAATGAGTGCGACCTTACAATGATTTTTTCGGCCACTGCAAGCCAATGCAGCTCTGAGAGCACTGGACAGACACGGTCGGGTTTTGCAGTACCCGTCACGACACGTGCTGCAGCTTGGTAACATTTTTGCCAAATGTCCCGTATAGTAATGAGTTGCAATCATCGAGCCTCATCGATACTATCCTACATGCCATCGTGTTGGCTATGTCACGACTCAATGGTGGTCGAATGTGTCGCAGAGCACTGACATGAACATTGCACGACTTTTGTACGTGGCGATCAAATGACAAATTCTGTTGGAGTATGGTGCCGGGGCTCTGTAGATGAGTATAAATCTGAATCCTGGAGTCTGCGACTGCTACGCCCGATTCTCCAACAGTTTGTCTCGCCTGAGCCAGAGTGCCAACCAGCAGAACCTCAGAATTGTTCTGGGTTAAGCTGCGTTTCGTTTGGTGCAAACCACACGTGCACCACTCGCGTGCAATCTCCGAGGTTATGAGGCTCTCGGTATCTAACTTTGACTTCACTGCGGTGTACAATTGTGTATCATCAGCATAGTAATGCAACTTGATTTCATGCGATGAGATGACATCGGCCATCGGAGAGACATTTGTTGAAAATAGGAAGGGCCCGAGAATGACTAGGCACGGCACAGACGATGACTGTCCATCACTCAGCTTGACGAACTGTGATGGACCACGTAGGTACGACTCAATTGACCCCAGTGTCATACCTGATACACCGAACTTTGACCTTAGCCACCCGATGGGTATCTCATGGTCGATGGTGTCGAAGGCGGCTGAGAGATCGAGGACTACCAATGCTGCGGCACAGCAGTCATCCGTGATCTTGTAGAGGTCATCCGTGATCTTGTAGAGGTCATCCGTGGTCTTGTAGAGGTCATCTGTGATCTTGTAGAGGTCATCCGTGATCTTGTAGAGGTCATCCGTGGTCTTGTAGAGGTCATCAGTGATCTTGTAGAGGTCATCCGTGGTCTTGTAGAGGTCATCCGTGGTCTTGTAGAGGCCATCCGTGATCTTGTAGAGGTCATCAGTGATCTTGTAGAGGTCATCCGTGGTCTTGTAGAGGTCATCAGTGATCTTGTAGAGGTCATCCGTGATCTTGTAGAGGTCATCAGTGATCTTGTAGAGGTCATCCGTGATCTTGTAGAGGTCATCAGTGATCTTGTAGAGGTCACCAGTGATCTTTCGTAGAGCCGTCTCAGTGCTGTGGGACTTTAGTACGCCGACTCCAAAAGGTTGAATCTGCTCATCGCAACGATGTGAAAAAGGTGCTCGATGACCTTTGAAATCAAACACGGGTTTGAGATTGGGTAGATAGTTTACGGAGTAACTACGGATCAAGGCAACTCTTTTCAGGACCGGTGTTACCCGCGCTATTTTTAACCGATCTGGGAAAGAGCCCTCGCTCAACAAAATATTTGCCAGGTGGACAATCAGCGGCGCAAGCAACGTCCGAGCACGATTTGAGACATGTGGATGTCGTGGTGCACCACTGTCTTATTTGGCAGCCGTGCGATGAACATCGACACCTCTGCCAGTTGATCAAACTCTGATGGCAGACGGGGAGAATGCATTGCCTTCAGGTGAAAACCCTTCGTCTTTATTGTCACTATTCTATTGATGAAGAACGTCACAAGTACTGGGCACAGATTCTAATTGATTAGTTAATGGGTGGCTGGAGTGCAGCAGACCTTTCACAACGTGCCACGTAGCATACGGGTCGCGAGCCAAGTTTCTGGAATGGTCGATATGTCGAGTCCACAAACATTGATCAGATCATGGATCAGAGCCCTCTTGTTGTCTATGAAGAGTGTGTTGATCAATGCAAATTTTAGGATCCCTGGTGCAGTGTTTTGATCGATAATTGACAACAGCAGCAGTGTGGCGATGAAGGCGCTCTTCTGTGATCATGTGGAGATAGGGCGGAAGAAGAACGGAGCAGATCTGCAGCGCAACCATGTGCGAGGCATTGCAATAAGTGACGAACACGGGTGGGTAGAGGTCTGCATTTCAACAGCAGATCGTAGCACGGAGGGAGCAGAACTCGAATAGTACACTATACACTACACAGGGTACACTACACATGGTACATTATACGTTACTTACAATCTTACGGTAGCGGGCGTCGTGGTAGAGAGTGTCGCGGTAGCAAGTGTCGCATTGAAGAGCGTCACGGTGGAGAGCATGGCAGGGGACAGCGTCACGGTGGAGAGCGTCGTGGTGGAGGTCGTTGCACTGGCAATCATTGCGGTGGCGAGCGTATTGGTAGCAAGCGTCACGGTAGCTAGCGTTGGTGTGGAGAACATCATTGCGGTGAGTGTCGCGGTAGAAAGCATCGCGTTGGTGAGCGTCGTAGAGGAGAGCGTTGCTGTGTCCAGTGTCGCGGTAGAGAGTGTCACAGTTCTGACCATCGCGTAGCGAACGTCGATGTAGCTAGCGTCAGTTTGGAGAGAGTCGCGGTAGAGAGCGTCGTGGTGGAGAGCGTCGCTGTGGCAAGCGTCTCAGTAGGCAGCGTGGCTGTAGAGAGCATTGCGGTGGCGAGCATAGCGAAGGACAGCGTCGCGGTGGCGAGTATTGTGGTGGTGGTGGTGGTGGAGAGCATCGCCGCGGTGAGTGTCGCCGTGGCGAGCGCTGTGGTGGCGAGCATTGCAGTGTTGAGCGTCGCGTTGGAGAGCGTCGCATTAGAGAGAGTCACGGTGACAAGCATCACGGTGGCTAGCATGGTGGGGGACAGTGTCACAGTGCAGAGCGTCATCGCGGTAGAGAGCGTTGCCGTGGCGAGTGTCACGGAAGCGAGCATCGGCGAGGAGAGCATCATGGCAGAGAGCTTGGCGGTGGCAAGCGTTCGTGGTGGAAAAGTTCGCGGTAGAGAGTGCCGCAGTGGCGAGCACTGCGGGAGTGGGCGCCGCAGTGGCGAGCGTCGTGGTGGAGATCGTGGTGGTAAAGAGCATTGCGGTGGTGAACGTCGCGCTGGTGAGCGTCGTGGTAGCGTGCGTGGAGGTGGAGAGAGTTGCGGTGGCGAGTGTCGTGGTGGAGAGCGTCGCGGTAGTGAGCATCATGGCGGCGAGCGTTGTGGCAATGAGTGTCGCCGTAGAGAGCGTCCCGGTGCAAAACGTCACAGTAGAGAGCGTCACAATGGAGAGCGTCATGGTGGAGATGGTCACCGTTGAGGGTGGTGCGGTGGCAAGCTTCGCGGTAGAATGTGACGCAGTGGAGAGAGTGCCGCAGTGGAGAGCGTTGCGGTAGTGAGCGTCGCAGTGGTGAGCGTCATGGTGGAGAGCGTTGCGGTGGTGAGCATCACAATGGAGAGCGTCGCTGTGGCGATGGTCACCGTTGAGGGCGATGCGGTGGCAAGCTTCGCGGTAGAAAGTGTTGCAGTGGAGAGTGTTGCGGTGGCGAGCATCGCTTTGCAGAGCATCATGGTGGAAAGCGTCGCATTGGAAAGTGTCGTGGTGGAATGCGTCGCGGTAGAGAGCGTCGCGGTAGAAAGCATTGCGGTGGTGAACATCGCAGTCGGGAGCGTTCTAGTGGCGAGCATCACAGTGGAGAGCATGGCGGTGGAGAGCATCGCGACGGCGAGCATCCCAGTAGCGAGCGTGGCGGTGGAAAGCATCGCAGTGTCGAGCGTCGTCACAGTGATAGCGAGCGCAGCAGTGTCGCGGTAGAGAGCGTGGCGGTGGCGAGCGTCGTGGTGGAGAACGTCGCCGTGGCAAATGTCGCAGTAAACAGCGTCGCAATGGAGAGCGTGGTTGTGGCGATAGTCACGATTGAGAGCGGTACGGTGTGAAGCATCACGGTAGAGAGCGTTGCGGTGGCAAGCTTCGCGTTGGAGAGCGCCGTGGCAGCGAGCGTCATGGTAGCGAACGTCGCAGTAGTGAGTGTCTTGGTAGTGACCGGAGTGTTGGCGAGTGTAGCATTGGAGAGCATCGCATTAGAGCATCGTGGTAGAGAGTGTAGCCATGGCGGCCGTAGCGGTGGAGAGCATCGCGGTGGCGAGCGTCGTGGTGGCAAGCGTCATGGTGGCGAGCGTCATGGTGGTGAGCGTTGCAGTGGTGAGCATTCCGCCCGAGAGCGACACGGTAGTGGTCGACGCTCCTCCCATGGTTGAAGTTCATCACGTGGTTGAAGCTCATCACGTGGTTGAAGTTCATCACGTGGTTGAAGTTCATCACGTGGTTGAAGCTCATCACGTGGTTGAAGCTCATCACGTGGTTGAAGTTCATCACGTGGTTGAAGTTCATCACGTGGATGAAGTTCATCACGTGGTTGAAGCTCATCACGTGGTTGATGCTCATCACGTGGTTGATGCTCATCACGTGGTTGAAGCTCATCACGTGGTTGATGCTCATCATGTGGTTGAAGCTCATCACGTGGTTGAAGCTCATCACGTGGTTGATGCTCATCACGTGGTTGATGCTCATCACGTGGTTGAAGGTCATCACGTGGTTTGAAGCTCATCTGGTGGATGAATACATTGTGGATGGCTTCACAGGCACGGGTGATGATGCTGATGAACTCTAATGCTGATGATGCATGTACATCATCAGCATTATATGGAGGGTGGATTGCCGATTATGGTGATGATGATGACGATGCCGGCGATGCTGCTGTTCTTGGCGTTGATTCGAGTGGCGGCGATTTCGCTGCCACGTTAAGAGCGGCGAAGGGGTCGGTGGCTGGCCGGGTGGCTGGGTGGGGTGTGGGTAGGTGGGGGGTAGGGTTGGTGGGGGGTAGGGTTGGTGGGGGGTAGGGTTGGTGCGGGGGGGGTGTTTGCGAACGCGTTCGGTTTTCGAGCTCGGATCCCCTCCCCCCTCCTCTCTCAGTTTCTCGGAGCTCACAAAAGCTTGAGGCAATCCAACCGCAAATCGACGGTGCCTGTAAAACACATCATGGAGATTACAATCAACCGGATGAAAAGTCCTCCCTCGCCGTCGCTGCTGCTGCCTTCTGCTTGCTGCCACCGCCAAGTAAAACGGCACGAGAAGAGCCTTGCAGGCAACTTCGGGTTGCAGGGGGTTGAGATCCGAAGGAGGTGGGGAGGGGGTCGAGGTTTTGGCAGTGCCATGAGCTGCAGCCCGAGTTCGCGTTCTGGATCGGGCAGGCCCCCGTGTGTCGTGAGCACCGTAGCGTGGATGTTTAATCATCATCATCACAACCATCATCATCACAACCATCATCATCACAACCATCATCATCACAACCATCATCGTCACCATCACCCACCATCAACATCATAATGGTGGTTGGTGGTGATGATGGTGATAATGGTGGTGGTGATGATGTTGGTGATGATGAAAATGATGGTGGTGGTGGTGGTGATGATGATAATGATGGTGATGATGATGGTGATGATGCTGTTGGTGATGATAATGGTGGTGGTGGTGGTGATAATGGTGATGATGATAATGATGGTGATGATGGTGGTGATGTTGGTGATGATAGTGGTGGTGGTGATGATGATTATGGTGGTGATGATGATAATGATGGTGGTGGTGGTGGTGATGATGATAATGGTGGTGATGATCATAGTGGTGGTGATGATGGTGGTACTGGTGATGATGGTGGTACTGGTGATGATGATGGTGGTACTGGTGATGATGGTGATGATGATAATGGTGGTGATGATGATAATGATGGTGATGGTGGTGGTGATGATGATGATGGTGGTGATGATGTTGGTGATGATGATAATGATGGTGATGATGGTGGTGATGATATTGGTGATGCTAGTGGTGGTGGTGATGATAATGGTGGTACTGGCGATGATGATGGTGGTACTGGTGATGATGATGATGGTGATTATGGTGGTAGTGATGATGGTGGTGATGATGTTGGTGATGATAGTGGTGGTGGTGGTAATGGTGATGATGATGGTGGTACTGGTGATGATGATGATGATGGTGATTATGGTGGTAGTGTTGATGGTGGTGATGATGTTGGTGATGATAGTGGTGGTGATGATGGTGGTACTGGTGATGATGGTGATGATGATGGTGGTACTGGTGATGATGATGGTGGTGGTGATGATGATGATGGTTGTACTGGTGATGATGGTGATGGTGGTGGTGATAATGATGGTGGTGATGATGATGATGGTGGTGATGATGATGGTGGTGGTACTGGTGATGATGGTGATGGTTGTTGTAATCCACAGGCCTCACATCGCGGCAGAGCATCGCCCTCGTCGCTGTCGTTCTCAGCATCGCGCTCGTCGCCTCCCTGGCTCTGCGTATCCGGTGAGAAAGAGAAGCACCTCGGGGCAGGGGCAAAGGGCAAGGGCCGAGGGGGTGGGGCAAGGTGCAAAGGGCAAGGGCCAAGGGGGTGGGGCAAGGGGCAAAGGGCAAAGGGCAAGAGCCAAGGGCCAAGGGGGTGGGGTAAGGGGGCAAGGGGCAAAGGGCAAGGGCCAAGAGGGTGGGGCAAGAGGCAAGAGGGCAAAGGGCAAAGGGGGAGGGGCAAGGGGCAAAGGGCAAGGGCCAAGGGGGTGGGGCAAGGGGCAAGAGGGCAAAGGGAAAAGGCCAAGGGGGAGGGGCAAGGGGCAAGCGGCTGCTCAGCGGTGTAGCGAGCGGCTCGCAATCACAGGTCCCAAGTTCACATCCTGGTTGGGGCTGGTTGACTCAGCCTCCTCTTGCCCCCGCAATTTGAATGTGGAATTTACTTTACCAGCTCAGGGCTGAACACAGGTACTGGGCATGGCAAAAAATAATGTGACTTTGATGTTTGTTGTTGTTGCTGCTGCTGCTGCTGAGAGCTGTAATCGAACCTCGGGTGCTGGCACTGTGAGCCACCCAGCCTCTCCCTCCCCAGCTCAGGACAGACTCGGCCCCCGCCATAATAACATGGAATTCCCACACAGGGCTGTAAATAGGAGACGACCTGGAATCCCCGTAGAGGCGCAGAAACAGACGACCCGATGCTCGGGTGCCAGGAGGGCACGCGCAACACTGGTGATGGCCGTGAGAGCAAAACGTCAGACTACCCGTTTCTAAGACGCTGTCAGATCGCTCTCTGCAACATCACCAACTACGGTTGGCGCCCTGCTGCTGCTGCTCCTGCTGCTGGAGGCAGCAAATGCATGTGGCCACCGTTTGTCCATGATGAGTAGAGGCCGATCGAAACTGAATTTTTTGTTTTCGCTGAAAACGAAACCATACCGAAAAATAAAAATGTACTTTCGGCCGAAACCAAAACTATGCCGAAAGAGGCCATTTGCCAACTTTCGGCCCCCGAAACCAAAACCGAATTTCGGTCGGCCTCTAATGACGAGACGACTTCGTGCAAACGATTGTCTGCGTCGGGTGGAGGAGGGTCCACGAACATCGCGTCAGGACCTCGGAGGCACTCACGCCTGGGCTCTGTCCTCACTGCCACCCGGAGGCTCGTCAGAAGCTGCTGCGATTCTGCCTCCTGCCTTGCGTCCGTCCGTATGTCCCGTATGTGTGCACGCGTAGTGACACCAACAATTAGGAGTCCTTATTCGTTAGGGGTCTTTGTTGGGAGTCTTTATTTCTTCACGCGTCCCCAGCTCTCGTGTTCTCCCTCAAGCCCCCTTCCTCGAAGGTTCCTTGACCCGCGACTCATCTCCCTCAACTCCCTCCGCACCCAAACCGCTCCAAAAAAGATTACAAACCGCTCCAAAAAAGATTACAAACCGCTCCTCGAGCGCTACCGAACCGATCTCAACCCGCTCCCAAACCGCCCTCCACCGCTCCCGAACCGCTCCCGAACCGCTCCTCGACCGCTCCCAAACCGCCCTCGACCGCTCCCAACCCGCTCCCGAACCGTTCCCAAACCGCTCCCGAACCACCCCTCGACCGCTCCCAAACCGCTCCCGAACCACCCCTCGACCGCTCCCAAACCGCTCCCGAACCGCTCCTCGACCGCTCCCAAACCGCCCTCGACCGCTCCCAACCCGCTCCCGAACCGCTCCCAAACCGCTCCCGAACCACCCCTCGACCGCTCCCAAACCGCTCCCGAACCACCCCTCGACCGCTCCCAAACCGCTCCCGAACCGCTCCTCGACCGCTCCCAAACCGCCCTCGACCGCTCCCAACCCGCTCCCGAACCGCTCCCAAACCGCTCCCGAACCACCCCTCGACCGCTCCCAAACCGCTCCCGAACCACCCCTCGACCGCTCCCAAACCGCTCCCAAACCGCCCTTTGACCGCTCCCAAACCGCTCCCGAACCGCTCCCGAACCGCTCGCCAACAGCTCCCGAATCGCCCCGCACGCCGAGTGGGAGACGGGGTGGAGGCTCCGCGTCCTCCCTCCACCTCACACGGAGTGGTCGCGCCTGAGCTGGCGACGCTGAGAGGCTCCGTTCGAATCCAGACTTTTAGCCACTGCCTGCGATGATGCCGACGATGATGATGTTGCTGCTGCTGCTGATGATGATGCCATTGTTGCTGCTGCTGATGATGATTGTTGTTCACTCGCTGAGCGCGCGCGCGTCTGTGCGTGCGCTTGAAAGCCGCGACCCGCAGTGGAGTCGGTGATCGTGGGATTTTAGGTCACCCGCAACTGGGGCGGGGGGGGGGGGGGTTGGGGGGGAGGGGTTGGGGGGAGGGGTTGGGGGGAGGGGTTGGGGGGGAGGGGTTGGGGGGAGGCGTTGGGAGGTGTTGGGGGGAGGGGTTGGGGGGAGGGGTTGGGGGGAGGGGTTGGGGGGAGGGGTTGGGGGGATGGGTTGGGGGGGTTGGGGGGAGGGGTTGGGGGGAGGGGTTGGGGGGAGGTGTTGGGGGAGGGGTTGGGGGGAGGCGTTGGGAGGGGTTGGGGGGAGGGGTTGGGGGGAGGGGTTGGGGGGAGGCGTTGGGGGGAGGGGTTGGGGGGAGGGGTTGGGGGGAGGGGTTGGGGGGAGGCGTTGGGAGGTGTTGGGGGGAGGGGTTGGGGGGGAGGGGTTGGGGGGAGGCGTTGGGAGGTGTTGGGGGGAGGGGTTGGGGGGAGGGGTTGGGGGGAGGGGTTGGGGGGATGGGTTGGGGGGGTTGGGGGGAGGGGTTGGGGGGAGGTGTTGGGGGGAGGGGTTGGGGGGAGGCGTTGGGAGGTGTTGGGGGGAGGGGTTGGGGGGAGGGGTTGGGGGGAGGCGTTGGGGGGTGTTGGGGGGAGGGGTTGGGGGGAGGGGTTGGGGGGAGGCGTTGGGAGGTGTTGGGGGGAGGGGTTGGGGGGAGGCGTTGGGGGGTGTTGGGGGGAGGGGTTGGGGGGAGGGGTTGGGGGGAGGCGTTGGGAGGTGTTGGGGGGAGGGGTTGGGGGGAGGGGTTGGGGGGAGGCGTTGGGAGGCGTTGGGGGGAGGGGTTGGGGGGAGGGGTTGGGGGAGGCGTTGGGGGGAGGGGTTGGGGGGAGGGGTTGGGGGGAGGGGTTGGGGGGAGGCGTTGGGAGGTGTTGGGGGGAGGGGTTGGGGGGGGGGTTGGGGGGAGGGGTTGGGGGGAGGGGTTGGGGGGAGGGGTTGGGGGGAGGGGTTGGGGGGAGGCGTTGGGAGGTGTTGGGGGGAGGGGTTGGGGGGGGGGTTGGGGGGAGGGGTTGGGGGAGGGGTTGGGGGGAGGGATTGGGGGGAGGCGTTGGGGGGAGGGGTTTGGGGGGAGGGGTGGGGGGAGGCGTTGGGGGGAGGGGATGGGGGGAGGGGTTGGGGGGAGGGGTTGGGGGGAGGCGTTGGGAGGTGTTGGGGGGAGGGGTTGGGGGGGGGGTTGGGGGGAGGGGTTGGGGGGGAGGGGTTGGGGGGAGGGGTTGGGGGGAGGGGTTGGGGGGAGGGGTTGGGGGGAGGGGTTGGGGGGAGGGGTTGGGGGGGTTGGGGGGTGGGGTTGGGGGGAGGGGTTGGGGGGAGGGGTTGGGGGGAGGGGTTGGGGGGAGGGGTTGGGGGGAGTGGTTGGGGGGAGGGGTTGGGGGGAGGGGTTGGGGGGGTTGGGGGGAGGGGTTGGGGGGAGGGGTTGGGGGGAGGGGTAGGGGGGAGGGGTTGGGGGGAGGGGTTGGGGGATGTGTTGGGGGGGTTGGGGGGGAGGGGTTGGGGGGAGGCGTTGGAGGGAGGGGTTGGGGGGAGGGGTTGGGGGGAGGGGTTGGGGGGAGGCGTTGGGAGGTGTTGGGGGGAGGGGTTGGGGGGAGGGGTTGGGGGGAGGGGTTGGGGGGAGGGGTTGGGGGGATGGGTTGGGGGGGTTGGGGGGAGGGGTTGGGGGGAGGGGTTGGGGGGAGGTGTTGGGGGGAGGGGTTGGGGGGAGGCGTTGGGGGGAGGGGTTGGGGGGAGGGGTTGGGGGGAGGCGTTGGGAGGGGTTGGGGGGAGGGGTTGGGGGGAGGGGTTGGGGGGAGGCGTTGGGGGGAGGGGTTGGGGGGAGGGGTTGGGGGGAGGGGTTGGGGGGAGGCGTTGGGAGGTGTTGGGGGGAGGGGTTGGGGGGAGGGGTTGGGGGGGAGGCGTTGGGGGGAGGCGTTGGGGGGAGGGGTTGGGGGGAGGCGTTGGGAGGTGTTGGGGGGAGGGGTTGGGGGGAGGGGTTGGGGGGAGGCGTTGGGAGGCGTTGGGGGGAGGGGTTGGGGGGAGGGGTTGGGGGGAGGCGTTGGGGGGAGGGGTTGGGGGGAGGGGTTGGGGGGAGGGGTTGGGGGGAGGCGTTGGGAGGTGTTGGGGGGAGGGGTTGGGGGGAGGGGTTGGGGGGAGGGGTTGGGGGGAGGGGTTGGGGGGAGGGGTTGGGGGGAGGGGTTGGGGGGAGGCGTTGGGAGGTGTTGGAGGGAGGGTTTGGGGAGGGGGGTTGGGGGGAGGGGTTGGGGGGAGGGGTTGGGGGGAGGGGTTTGGGGGAGGCGTTGGGGGGAGGGGTTGGGGGAGGGGTTGGGGGGAGGCGTTGGGTGGAGGGGTTGGGGGGAGGGGTTGGGGGAGGGGTTGGGGGGAGGGGTTGGGGGGAGGCGTTGGGAGGTGTTGGGGGGAGGGGTTGGGGGGAGGGGTTGGGGGGAGGGGTTGGGGGGAGGGGTTGGGGGGAGGGGTTGGGGGGAGGGGTTGGGGGGAGGCGTTGGGAGGTGTTGGAGGGAGGGTTTGGGGAGGGGGGTTGGGGGGAGGGGTTGGGGGGAGGCGTTGGGAGGTGTTGGGGGGAGGGGTTGGGGGGGGAGTTGGGGGGAGGCGTTGGGGGGAGGGGTTGGGGGGAGGGGTTGGGGGGAGGGGTTGGGGGGAGGCGTTGGGAGGTGTTGGGGGGAGGGGTTGGGGGGAGGCGTTGGGAGGCGTTGGGGGGAGGGGTTGGGGGGAGGGGTTGGGGGGAGGCGTTGGGGGGAAGGTTGGGGGGAGGGGTTGGGGGGAGGGGTTGGGGGGAGGCGTTGGGAGGTGTTGGGGGGAGGGGTTGGGGGGAGGGGTTGGGGGGAGGGGTTGGGGGGAGGGGTTGGGGGGAGGGGTTGGGGGGAGGGGTTGGGGGGAGGCGTTGGGAGGTGTTGGAGGGAGGGTTTGGGGAGGGGGGTTGGGGGGAGGGGTTGGGGGGAGGCGTTGGGAGGTGTTGGGGGGAGGGGTTGGGGGGGGGGTTGGGGGGAGGGGTTGGGGGGAGGGGTTGGGGGGAGGGGTTGGGGGGAGGGGTTGGGGGGAGGCGTTGGGAGGTGTTGGGGGGAGGGGTTGGGGGGGGGGTTGGGGGGAGGGGTTGGGGGGAGGGGTTGGGGGGAGGGATTGGGGGGAGGCGTTGGGGGGAGGGGTTTGGGGGGAGGGGTTGGGGGGAGGCGTTGGGGGGAGGGGATGGGGGGAGGGGTTGGGGGGAGGGGTTGGGGGGAGGCGTTGGGAGGTGTTGGGGGGAGGGGTTGGGGGGGGGGTTGGGGGGAGGGGTTGGGGGGGAGGGGTTGGGGGGAGGGGTTGGGGGGAGGGGTTGGGGGGAGGGGTTGGGGGGAGGGTTGGGGGGAGGGGTTGGGGGGGTTGGGGGGTGGGGTTGGGGGGGAGGGGTTGGGGGGAGGGGTTGGGGGGAGGGGTTGGGGGGAGGGGTTGGGGGAGTGGTTGGGGGGAGGGGTTGGGGGGAGGGGTTGGGGGGGTTGGGGGGAGGGGTTGGGGGGAGGGGTTGGGGGGAGGGGTAGGGGGGAGGGGTTGGGGGGAGGGGTTGGGGGATGTGTTGGGGGGGTTGGGGGGGAGGGGTTGGGGGGAGGCGTTGGAGGGAGGGGTTGGGGGGAGGGGTTGGGGGGAGGGGTTGGGGGGAGGCGTTGGGAGGTGTTGGGGGGAGGGGTTGGGGGGAGGGGTTGGGGGGAGGGGTTGGGGGGAGGGGTTGGGGGGATGGGTTGGGGGGGTTGGGGGGAGGGGTTGGGGGGAGGGGTTGGGGGGAGGTGTTGGGGGGAGGGGTTGGGGGGAGGCGTTGGGGGGAGGGGTTGGGGGGAGGGGTTGGGGGGAGGCGTTGGGAGGGGTTGGGGGGAGGGGTTGGGGGGAGGGGTTGGGGGGAGGCGTTGGGGGGAGGGGTTGGGGGAGGGGTTGGGGGGAGGGGTTGGGGGGAGGCGTTGGGAGGTGTTGGGGGGAGGGGTTGGGGGGAGGGGTTGGGGGGAGGCGTTGGGAGGCGTTGGGGGGAGGGGTTGGGGGGAGGGGTTGGGGGGAGGCGTTGGGGGGAGGGGTTGGGGGGAGGGGTTGGGGGGAGGCGTTGGGAGGTGTTGGGGGGAGGGGTTGGGGGGAGGGGTTGGGGGGAGGCGTTGGGAGGCGTTGGGGGGAGGGGTTGGGGGAGGGGTTGGGGGGAGGCGTTGGGGGGAGGGGTTGGGGGGAGGGGTTGGGGGGAGGGGTTGGGGGGAGGCGTTGGGAGGTGTTGGGGGGAGGGGTTGGGGGGAGGGGTTGGGGGGAGGGGTTGGGGGGAGGGGTTGGGGGGAGGGGTTGGGGGGAGGGGTTGGGGGGAGGCGTTGGGAGGTGTTGGAGGGAGGGTTTGGGGAGGGGGGTTGGGGGGAGGGGTTGGGGGGAGGGGTTGGGGGGAGGGGTTTGGGGGAGGCGTTGGGGGGAGGGGTTGGGGGGAGGGGTTGGGGGGAGGCGTTGGGTGGAGGGGTTGGGGGGAGGGGTTGGGGGGAGGGGTTGGGGGGAGGCGTTGGGAGGTGTTGGGGGGGGGTTGGGGGGAGGGGTTGGGGGGGAGGGGTTGGGGGGAGGGGTTTGGGGGAGGGGTTGGGGGGAGGGGTTGGGGGGAGGGGTTGGGGGGAGGGGTTGGGGGAGGGGTTGGGGGGGTTGGGGGGAGGGGTTGGGGGGAGGGGTTGGGGGGAGGGGTAGGGGGGAGGGGTTGGGGGGAGGGGTTGGGGGATGTGTTGGGGGGGTTGGGGGGGAGGGGTTGGGGGGAGGCGTTGGGGGGAGGGGTTGGGGGGAGGGGTTGGGGGGAGGGGTTGGGGGGAGGCGTTGGGGGGAGGGGTTGGGGGGAGGGGTTGGGGGGAGGGGTTGGGGGGAGGGGTTGGGGGGAGGCGTTGGGGGGAGGGGTTGGGGGGAGGGGTTGGGGGGAGGGGTTGGGGGGAGGGGTTGGGGGGAGGGGGGTTGGGGGGGGTTGGGGGGAGGGGTTGGGGGGAGGGGTTGGGGGGAGGGGTAGGGGGGAGGGGTTGGGGGGAGGGGTTGGGGGGATGTGTTGGGGGGGTTGGGGGGGAGGGGTTGGGGGGAGGCGTTGGGGGGAGGGGTTGGGGGGAGGGGTTGGGGGAGGGGTTGGGGGGAGGCGTTGGGGGGAGGGGTTGGGGGGAGGGGTTGGGGGGAGGGGTTGGGGGGAGGGGTTGGGGGGAGGCGTTGGGGGGAGGGGTTGGGGGGAGGGGTTGGGGGAAGGGGTTGGGGGGGTTGGGGGGAGGGGTTGGGGGGGTTGGGGGAGGGGTTGGGGGGAGGGGTTGGGGGGAGGGGTAGGGGGGAGGGGTTGGGGGAGGGGTTGGGGGGATGTGTTGGGGGGGTTGGGGGGGAGGGGTTGGGGGGAGGCGTTGGGGGGAGGGGTTGGGGGGAGGGGTTGGGGTGAGGGGTTGGGGGGAGGCGTTGGGGGGAGGCGTTGGGGGGAGGGGTTGGGGGGAGGGGTTGGGGGGAGGGGTAGTCAGCGTGTCGGGACGGGGGTCAAGTTCGGGGTCAATCCGTCGAGCGAGGAGCGCGGTGGGCGAAGTTGAGACTCGTGGGGGGGGGGGGGGAAGGGAATTGGACGCGGAATCTGGCGAGTGCGCAGGCGGTGCAACTGCCCCGGGGGGGCTCCACGGGCAGGGTGGGGGGCGCAGACGCCGGGCTACGGAGACACGTGGTGGGCTGGGGGTGAAAGCATTGGACGGAGGACGTGAGCGGGGGGCCGGTGACGGAATTGAATTCCTCGTGTCGCCGGTCTGGGCAGGGGGACAGACACGGCCTCCGCTCGGATGGGGTGCGGGGATGAGGGGGGGGGCGGCGGGCGGGGGGGGCACCCCACGAGGGAGTCTCACCGCGCCAACTTCGGTGGCGCCAAGGAGCGGTGCAGGCCCCCCCCCTCCCCCCCAACTACCCCGGCTCCCTCCCCCTGGACGCGGGCCACGCAGAAGCTTGCGCCCCCAGTCCTTGTCAGCAGGATGAACCACGCCGCCTCCCTTTGATGTGCAGCTCCCCCGTGGTGGTGGTGGCTGGGGGGGTGGTTGGATCGCACGGCTTAGAGGCCCGTGTGTGGGCCGTGTCGCCCCCAGGCAATCGGCTGTCCCACCCACCCGCTGTCATCTCGTCACTCCCAGGCGAACGCACGGCTCACGGCCCCGAAGGTCGACCCAGGCACAAACGAGTGCCCTGGGTGCGAGTTGTAAAGCACCGCTACTAGGGGAGACAAAGGCGGCCCGGCGTGGGGCTGGCCACGCCCACCCCCGTCACGTGCCACAGTGCCGGCCTTCGTAGGTGCTGCTGCTGCTCGCTGACAGTCGTTGTTGTGGTGGTGGTGGTTGTGGTGGTGGTGGTTGTGGTGGTGGGTGTGGTGATGGTGGTTGTGGTGATGGTGATTGTGGTGGTGATGGTGGTTGTGGTGGTGGTGGTTGTGGTGGTTGTGGTGGTGGTGGTTGTGGTTGTGGTGGTGGTTGTTGTGGTGGTGGTGGTATTAGTGGTGGTGATTATGGTGGTGGTTGTTGTGGTGGTGGTTGTGGTG